CAGAGAAGGTGAATTCACATAATTTAATGGCTTGTTTTGGTTCATTAGTAAAACAATTTCTTTCCAACTAACAAAGCCAATGCAGAAATGGAGAACTCATTTATGGTAATTCTCTATTCAGCAATTTGAACATGCCCTTTCAGAAATTACTTACTAGGGGATTTTCAGAAGAAAGGCATCAATGTAGCCAAGAGCTCTATCCTCTAGGCCTAGCACGGTACTCGGTTCATTGCTGATCCTCACTGCAGTTTCACTGGAAGAAGTCACAGGACGCGTGCATGCATATGGCAGGTATAGGCTGGATTTGGGATAACCAAGTGCCTCCTGGTCCTGGCTGTCGAGAAGAGCCTTGCAGGGGGCTCATGCCCCGCTCAAACCTTGCTGGATATCCCGTGGTGGGGGGCTGGCTTGGGATCCTTCAACAGCTCCGATTCAGTAACTTCACCAGTGGAATGTCTGGTGGTCTTTGTTCTCTGCCTCGTGGACCCAGAGCTAACAGGCAGCTGAAATCGATGGACGGGATTCTGAGGAAGATGACCAGCTAGCTCTTCCCCAAGCTGGACCTGGTGAAGTTGAGGTTGGTATTCTACTATGTACTTTGGGAGAATGAGGGTAAATGGCATGTTCCCGGCAAAATTGCTGTTGTGGATGGTGGGGAAGCAGACCCCAGCCTGTGCAATGGTGTCTGCCAGGTTCAGCCAGGTTCCCTGCCTCCTCCAGGGCTGGTAAGGGGCAGGTGAGAAGTGGCCATCTGACTCCATGTGACATGGTCCAGGGTTGCATTTCTCTGGCAGGAACACTGCATTGATTCAGTGGTGTCTGGCTGTTTCATTAGTAAGGACAGAGGTCCTTCTGGCACCTAGATGGTGTGCTGGCGAGTATGCAGCTGGACAGCCAGCAGATTCTCTATGGCCCCTGAAGCATCCCTGTTCCATGTTCCAAGACCATGTTTTTGGAATGTTCTTTTTACATAGTAGTCGATTCCTGCTTAATGGATGCTTTTTTTTCTCTAGTGATGTTACTGCAGCATACTTTAAGTCTCTTCTCTTTCATTCACATTGGTCTTTCGTTTAGTCTCTGATTTGATATACAGGTTTCATTAAGTGCATAGTGATCTTTATCTACCTGCTCTTATATAAGAGAGGGCCAGTGAAAAGCTGATTGAAGGTTTTATGCCTGTAGGTGAGTTTGTTGACTGCAGGGTTCACTGGGATTGTGCCTTCACAGAGAGAAGCTTAGCACATTTAAGTGATGTCCCGTCTGCACCTGCAATCCACAATACAGTATCCTCTTACCTGGGTGCCGCCATCAGGCTAGGAGCCAAGGAGGAAAAGAGGGTGGGAGCCGGGTATTCACAATGTAAATTTTAATCAGTGCCTGTGTTTCAGTTGCACTGCTTTCCTTCTGTTCTCCATTCTGCTTTATGTTTTCTAGAAAAACACACCTCTAATAGTCTGTCACAGAAGAGAGGAGTAACCACCCAGATTCTCAAGGGAAGGAAGCTATTATATGGGGGTTTAGTGTCTAAAAAAAGGAAGTTAAAGTAAGCATTCTGTTTTATCCCCAGTTTTGCCCAGCAGTCTTCCCTAGATGCTACTAATCTCTGAGCCTCATGGGGGATGTGGTGGGATGACTTCTTCAGCCTTATCCACTGCTGATGAGGATTCAGGACTGCTCAGTAAATCACTACAAGGCATCTCTTTTTCAGTCTCCAAATGTTTTTGTCTCTTCTCTTTTCTCTTGAGATAATCTGTCTTTTGAAAGGTCGCTTCCTGTCCTTGGTGGGATTCAGTGCAGGTGGAGGGAGACGTGTCTATTCCGTCCACCATATTTATGTAGAAATCTGACCCTGACAAGACCAAGACACATGACACTGAAGAAGCATTTCAGAGGCTTACACTCTTGATATTATAACAATGTGTTTCAGAAAGCTGTGAGGATTACACCTGGGCATTTACCACAGTGCTAAGTTACAGAAAGAAACGAGAAAATGTGGTCAGTTCAAGATGTATGCCTTCCACTGAAACCCTATTAATAGGATCTGTCTGTTAATCTATAGGTTTCCCAGAATCCCAAGTAAAAGCAAATAGAACGTAGGGCTTTTCATACCAAACTGAGTACACTCAAAAGAGGAAAAAGCTTCAGTTATATCAGCGGTGACTAAATCCCACACCATTTCTATTGTTACTTGAAAATGAAGCTTCGGAGGCACCAGCTGTTGACCCCAATATTTTCCTTCATAAATGGAAGAGTGTGCATTAATATCCCTGCCATATAAAATGCTCCCCAAAGTGGAGCAGAACCATCATTGAATAAATTTACATGAGTTTTGGTTATTTTTTATGCAGCATATTCAGACACTTTCTGTGAATTGCTTGACAAAAATTTTTTTAATAACTTGATGTCTTGGTCAATATAAATGTTTTGAAGGCATGCATTTTAGATTCTAAAATATTGTGCAGCTAAGTTTTCTTACCACAGAAAGGAAAATGTGAGTGTCTTTTATTGTTTGGCATTTAAACAAAACCTATTTTTTAAGTTCATTGCTCTGATTTTAAGGCAGCATAAGTCACTTGTCGAATCCCTAGACCACATCACAGATATTTCAAATTAAACTTTTCTCTCCTGTCTGTCGTGCTGACTAACAGCACTCCAGGAGAAACCAGGAATGCATTAGGGGTGTGCGGCTGTTCTCGCTCTGACTCTTTGGTTCATTCTACACTGATGTGGTGACGATTCATGAAAATAAACAATAGAAAAACAAGTGTTGCTAAGCAACACGATCTCTTCTGCTTTAATAAGTTAGATACAGTTGCAAAAGTGGGAAATCTCCATAAACTGAAAGCCTGAGAATTGGTGGCGAGAAAAACACCAAAGCCTGCCATTGGCGTTAACAACTCTGACACTAATTCTAGATCATCTGGGGACCCTCTGTGTGACTGTAGAAGCTAATAGTGGAATTGTTTTGGTAGGACCCTTCTTTCTTTTCCTTGGAACACAAAAGTCACATAAATGTATTTTATTTCACTTAACAAGTAAATGGATTATAATAATATAATAAATTATGCAATCTCTAAATGTAAAACGTGCTCTTTAAAAGTTATGTAATCTATTGCAACTACAAAAGTGAGCAGACTTTTAAACATTTTAGAATATCAATTCAGCTAAACTTATCCTTAAGATGAGAACTCTTGTGTGGCTTATGTTGGTGGTTTCTTACTTTGCTAACTCCAAGCATTGGTAAATATTATTCTCAGTGTCTCTGATCTAAGTACATATCACAAGATACACCTGTCCCTTACAAAATTGCATATGACATACCCAGTTTCTAGCAGCAACATATTATCATTTTTAGTAATATAAAACAAAAAGTATACTCTTGGAGGAATACCAGATCATAAAAAGGTATGTGGAAAAATGATAATATTGCTATTAAGAGCTTCAGAAAATTCTAGCAGCCGATTTACTATAATAATTTAGAGTCAGTTAGTTCTTTCCTTTCACATAAATATAATGGTGACATAATTTTTCTTTATTTTTTTTATCACATTTAAATTTTTTTGACCTTAATATGCTATGCTATTTTATGAAACTACATCCCCTCTTTAACTGATTAAGATTTGAGTGATCATTCTTGTCCTGTGTCACATTAGTTCACTTATCTTTTTCAAGTTTTTCCATGTCAAAAAACTTATTTTCTAAGCTTCATAAAACTGAATTTACATTTAAATGCAATCCATTCTGCTGAAAAAAAAATTCTTGAATAAAGAGTGGTTTTATCCCAGCTCTAAATGTGAAGCTACAGGATTATCCAACTACATAAACTGAAGCATTTAAATTAAATGAAAAGTAATTTTGCATAATACTATCCATGTGCTTATTAGAGAGAGATCACCTTTAATATACGATTTACAAAGTAAGCCCAATTAGTGTTCTAAAATGTCTCAGATCCAAAAATCTGAGGGAAAATGAAGAGAATATAGTCTTTCAGGATAGATTATATTTCACACATGTTCAGAAGATGCTGAGATGTGGCTTTTATAGAGAATGATACATTGTGTGCTATTTCTAATGCAAATTTATGTAAGTCAATTTTGATTTTGTGTTTAATAATTTAAAGCAATATATTGCTCTACATAAATTTAATTGACTAAATTGTTCTTCCTTAAAACACATTGTATGAAGTAATAATGATAACATTTATTTAATTTGTCGAGGAAATTGAAACACAGACAATGAACCCTGAACAAGGATCAAACTCAGTGTTATGCATCATACATACATTTATGATGCTAATTTGATCATGATAATAAAAACATTTGCAAACAACTGACAATGCAAAGAGGCAGAAAAATTCAAGACTAATAAATAATCCTGGAAAGATGTTTGGCAAAGCTTTCCCATCTTGCCTTAAATACCAATTGCCCTGCATGGGGCGCCTGGCTGGTTAAGCGTACGTCTTCAGTTAAGCATCCGATCAGGTCATAATCTCATGGTTCATGGGCTTGAGCCCAGCATTGGGCTCTGTGCTGACAGCTAGCTCAGAGCCTGGAGGCTGTTTCAGATTCTGTGTCTCCCTCTCTCTATGACCCTCCCCTGCTCTCTCTCTCTCAGAAATAAATAAAACATTAAAAATAAAAAATAAAAAATATCATTTGCCCTGTAAAAACTAAGTTGCCTTGTTGAAAAGAAAGGATAGTCATACAAATACCTTTATGTATGTGTGTAATGAGGATTCTCCAAGGCATAACCAGGCAAGAAACCATCCCACCTCATCCACCGGGGGAAGAATAGAAGGACTGCTATTTGACAGAGGCCCTGATAACTCCATTTAGAACTCTGGCTCCATCCCTGTCAAAGCAAAACTTATCTATTCCTCACCAGTCTTGTGAGCCAGGGCTGTAGTGACTCAGTTACTTTCTGTCTCTGATTTATACACAGGTTCTGTAGATGAAGTTTCATCAGAAATAATGTGGATTTCTCATTTCACTTTCTTACAGAGTCCTTTAAACTGCTGTCCTGGAGTCCGTGGAATGCTGTCCCCAACTATGTCAGGTAGTGACTCCCCCAGCTTCAGAGTGTGTTGGGGACCAAGAGGGTTTGGCTGAGTTCCTCTCTGGAATCTTCTATCAGCCAGAAAGACCCACTGTTCTCTTGTCCTGTATCCAGTATTGGTCTGGGATGGCTCTCTTCCTTAGAGCAGGTGGTTATGAAGGACCATCCCAAGTCCAAGGCTGTCTGAGAGATTGATTAGGGCCATCTCCCATTGTAAGGGTAAGATTGTAAAGGTAGCACAGCAGACATACATAATGAGGAGGAAATGGTATGTTCAAGAAAAGATGCCCCAGCCTGGCATCTCCCAATTATACTTCCCTCCCATAGACATTGATCCAGCACCCACATCTCCATCTTAGACTGCTTCCTAGAGACTCCACTGTAAGGCCACTGGTACCAGAAGTGCACTAAGGATGTAGACTCTAAAGTGAGGCACTGGCATGAATCCTACATCAGTGATATGTAAAAATGAAGATTTATCATAGCTGGTAAGTAGAGCAATGACAGCCCTTGTAATGCTGGAGCTGCACATTTGGTAGGAGTTATTTGTGTTGAAGGAAGGCTGAGGTAGGGAATATATTAGCAACTGTAATGTCCTGACAAATATGAATGATAGGTACTAAGGAATTGAATGACATTGTTAGGGTAGTTGATAGGTCAGTGAAAGACAATGGAAAGCTGAAGGTAACTAATCACTGATTTAAGGTGAAGTGTCAGAGTCTCATGGGCTATAGCATGAAGTGCTGCATGGTGGCAAAAGTTAAGATAGTATGTATGGACACTGGCGTGGAGAATACCAAACCAAAACAGGATGGAACATGAAATTGGAATTAAACCATAGACTCAATTATACAGTAATTTACTCTTGAATCTGACAAATGTGCTATTTTCCATCCTTCTGGTGGTAGAGGACCAGGTGCATTTCACAATCTCATGGGACAGAAAACAGTGCACTTCTATGATGTTGATCCAGGGCTGGATAACTCTCCTGTCTTCCCTTGTAATATAGTTTGGATGCACCAAGAAAGATCTATACAATCCACCAAACATCACATTAGTCATTCTTTCAATGGCATGTCATTAGTAGAAGTAGATGACTAAGAATTGGCAAATACATTGCAGGTGTTGGTTAAGATACCTGCACTCTAGAACACAGAGATGGGGAAAAAAAAAAAAGGTTCAAAGCCCTGAATTTTTTAAAAATAATTTAGGTGTCCAAGGGACATACTCTCTAAAGTTAAGGAAAAGTTATTGCCTCATGTAGTCATTTTACTCAGAAAGAAGACAACACCTGCTTATCTTCTGGTTCTGGAGACAGCAGCATGTTCCAAGCTTGTCAACAAAGCTGTGTTATGTTTACCACTTTGACCAAGTGACATCACTATGGACTGAATTGTGTCTCCCTCTCCCCAGTTTCATATATTGAAGTATTACCTCCCAGAATGATGGTATTTGGAAATGGGGCCCTTGAGAGGTAGTTGGGTTTAGAAAAGACCATGAGAGTAGTGCCCTAAACAACAAGGAGGTATCAGTGCTCTCTTGCTTGCTCATGAGGAAGCAGTCATGTGAGCACAGAGCAAGATGGAGGCCAGCTGCAGGGTAGAAAGTGCACTGGCCGATACCTTGATCTTAGGCTTCTAGCCTCTGTAACTGTGAGAAATAAATGTCTGCTGTTTGAGCCACCCAGTCTATGGAATTTTGTTACCTAAGAAGATGAAGACAGATATGGAAAAGCCATCAATTTTGAGTGGAATGCAGAATACAAAACTGCTCTGCAGCCCAGGTGGCAATTTAAGTGTCCCTGTCATTTGAACAATACAACTCAACAGACATGAGAGGTTTCTATGCAGTTGGAAAATATCCTGTGTAAAGTTCCTGGCATCCCCAGGATGAAAATCACAGCTAAGAGCTCTGGGCTACTGGACCCAGTTTTGGACACTGGCAGCACATAATTGTACACTATTCAAAAATAGCTCTCGAGAGCTATGGATCTGTTAGTAATGGAGATCCTGACATGTAAAATGACCATGTGATCAGAACTGGTTCACATTCATTTCTCTGAGAGTCAACAAGTCCAAGGTAAGGGTAGCCCAGCAGACATACACAACGAGGAAGAAATGGTACATTCAAATCAAGCACAAATAAGCATGAGAGGACACACAAGTAAGCTCTATGAGCTGGCCACCTCCCTGGTGTCCACTAGTGTCTCTCTGTGGCTTTTTCTTTGGCTCAAAGTTATGTCCACTCTGGGTTGCTTGATGATTGACTGATGGAGGAGGGAAAAAAAAGCAAAGCTTGCTTAACAGTTGCATTGCTCAGTGTAGGATGCAAGATGATGAAGGGTGAGGGCTATGCTGATGCCCAAATCAGGAGTGGTCTTGAAGAATAGCAGGTAGAAAAGAATCTTCCCAATAGACACTATTTCACCCATTTTTGTGTAGTGAGTTTAGCCAAGGTAGGAATATAGTCTGACTCATGGGAATGGTGGCTAGCTTGGCCAGTTGGTCCATGGATGAAGAAAGATTAGAAGATTGGAGACAAGGAAACTGGGGAAGAATCAAGCTGATAGACTTGGAGAAGTGGCCCCCGGATGTGAAGACCTTTGAGTTCACACTAACACTCACTAAACAGCATCCACCTAGAGTTTCTCTGTGTAAGAACTCCAGGGTTATTTGACCTACAGACATAGAACCCTGAGTAATAGTGCACTGAGCAGAGAAACACACTATAGGAGAGATTCGCTGAAGCTCTAGATACATCATGGAATCCACTGAATGAGTATCTGGGTAAGATCAGTTATGTGGCCCTCCCTCCCAAGGGGAGCAGAGTTGTGGCTCAGCACCAGGACCCACACAACTGGGGTGAGGGGCCTGTGTCACCACAGCCTCTCCTCAGAGCCACTGGATACAAGATCCTTGGTACAATGGCCATCACTGTAGTTCATAAATTGTTGCTTTTTCTGTTACACAGAACCATTATCATTTGATCTAGCTAATATGTTTTTTTCTTCTGTACGGATAAATTGCTTCCCATAGAGGTCATGTACACAGAGCCCTCCAGCCTCCTCTGAACGTGCACCGACTAATCTGAAGACTGCCTGTGAACATCTCCCTGAGGTGTGCCTGTTCACAGACATATTCTCACACTTGTCATCTATGGCCACAGTAGGCCTGCATCTTGTAGGCATTTTGATTTAATGAAATGTTGACTTGTAGCAGGTGCTGGTGGAGTGATACAACTTGGGATATTTAATTTTCAATTAGACAAAATAATTGATTCCATGTGCATATATATATGTTCACATACGCGTGCGCGCACACACAACACATGCACATTCATTAAATGAACCACCAGTAACTATAAAAGTATAAGTATAAAAGTAAAATGATCCAATACTTTCTATCTCAAACTTCTATTTCTTGAGTTCAAATTGAAAAAATAAACCTTATAGATCCCAGTTAGAGATTAAAAAGACTGTGTGATTCTTTTCAAAAGCTGTGTCCCTCCCTTGAGGGGAAGACTATGAGAACATAAATCACTTAGGACACCATTACATCCATCTGGGCAAAGCCAGATAAATCATTTATTCTACCCCTCCTGCTCCAAGTTTATATTGTAGAACAAAAGCTGAAGTGTCTGATGGAAAAATGAAAGTTGAATCTTCATCATCCGATATCACTAACGTTGTTCCAATTTCCTATCAGTAGAAAGACCTTAGGAAAAGAATAGACGTGTGATAGATGCACTGAGGAAATTAAGGTGTAAAAGTGTTACTTATCTCTCTGGTTCTGCGGCTGCACAGAGAAGCAAAGGCAGGGTTCCCAACCACTTAAAACCCTACTTCATCTTGATAAAAATCTCTCTCCCTCTTTTAGTATTATTTAAATCCAAAATTAATCATATATTATCACATAAGACTTGAAACGATGAAAGAAGGCTGTTATTTTATTCTTGAACTAAATACGCTCTTCATACACATCATTCTGATATGATTCTCTGTAGCAAAAATGAGCACATTCTGATCTGTAGTAGCCATTTTATGCATAATGGTCAGAGGGAGGGAGGGAAGAAGAGGGAGAGATTGAGGGGGAAGGGAGAAAATTTTCAGTAGGGAAACCTATACATGGGAACAAGTTTTGGAGTAGAGAAAATTATAGAGAAAAAGTTTCAGGAACAGGTAACAAGATGCAGACAACCCAAATTGGAGGATTGGCCAAAGCGTACTATTTTGTAGACACAGGAGGGAAGGTACTGAGGACACACTAGCGTATGCACATTTTTAAGGGTAAATAGAAGTGCGCCATGACATCCCATGGGGGCGTTCTGACAGCGCTGTGGTGATGTGGTGATGGCAGCCGTTAACAGACACCATTTCTGCTTCTAGGAACCAGTAATAGGTGCATTGGAGGGGTGAGGACTTCTTCCCCACAAATCACAAGCGTCCACCTAACCCTTCCCAGCTGTAGCAGAAATGGCCTTTCACCCACTAAATAAAATAAATAAAGTGAGATATTCTGGAAAGCATGAAGTATATCCAAAGAGAGAAAAAGTGATTATTCAAACCGAACACGAAAAGGTCAACTGAATCAGATGCTGTTAACGAATGAAGTTGTATGTCATTCCAGTAAATGACAGATTTGCCAGACAGATTCGGTAAAGTGAATCACGATATGGTGCAATCAACTCTTGGATACAGTGGGAGTGGATTTTTAGCATCTGACAGACCTCAGTTCCAATCTCGGCTCTGCCACTTACTCTTTGATTTAGATGCGTTCCTTAATCCTTCTGAGACGCAGAGTCCTTGTATTCACCCCAAATCATACCTACCTGCTAGGGGCACTGTAGTGTCCAAACAGGGGAGTCACTTGTAAAGCTCCCAGCCCATTATAGATCATTCTTATTGTAATCACCATTGTTAATATTTTCCGTTAATATCCTACCTTTAGGACCAGAGATAATTAAAGGTGGCCTCGGACTAAGGAGTAGCGGCAGATGCTCCTTCTAATCTCTAATCGGTGGGAGCGCGGAGGGCGTGGCTCCCGGGCAGATGCTCAGGGTGTAGACTGGTTTCCTAGCCTTTCCAGCAGGAAATGAGAGGAACACAGCATGAGCACGATAACGAAGCTGAGACCAGCATGAGGAGAAGCTGTAGGACAGACACATCCTTCATCCTTCAGACATGCAGTCGCAGTCACTCTTCAGGCTGCATCACAAAATGTGTGTCCATTCGGAAGGCTGTTAGGGACTCTCGGATCTATCAACTGGAGGTAACGATGCCGCCAGAGGAAATCCACCTGAAGGACATCATGCAACACAAGCATCATTATTATGCTGCTACACATGGCTCGCTGGCTGATTAACCACAAACACGGGGTCAAAAACGGTTTTTACACGCTGCTGCTAAATGGAAAATGAAAAATAAACGTGTAGGCATCATTCTCTCTCCGTTGTCTGCTCGTCACAGTTAAGTGAGTCGCTATTTCATCTTCAGACCCTATTTCAGTCTGTCGTCCAACATGTGACCAGTGTTACAGAAGCTGCTTGTATTCAGAGTCTCTCACAAATGAGACAATTAAGTAGGCAATTACTATTTCAGCCTCGGTGTCCTGATACGTCTTCCTGAAAGGGGCATGTGTGCTGGTGTGTTCTGAGTTTTATAACCTTTGGATGTGTCCCATGTGTTTCTGTCAGTGATAGAATATGTCATTTTTTCTAAAATGACTTATTCTTCCCCATGCATGCCTGTTCCTATAGATTGGGGCAAGAGGCTACAATACAGAGGAATGCACCTAGAACTTTCTCCATTTGCACATGACTAAGTCTCATGTTCGAACTTCATCTTTACTCCTCATCTGTATTTTCTATATTCTTGGAGATGGGCATGATGTTTCGTCTTCTGTAATTCTCACACTTGTCAACTGGTCTTGCTTGTCCCACACTGACCTACAGCACTCTTGAAACTATTTTCCCTCTCACTATTCCTGCCTTCCCCTGGTACATTTTCCTCCCCCAAATTTAAAAGTATTGAGACATCAGCCACAGGACAGTCGCCTCTCCTTAGCACCCTGCCCCACGACTGGAGGGAAGAGGGAAGAATATGAACAGCTTTTCTCTTGGCCTGCAAGGCCCCTCTTCCTCTTGCCATGTCACGTGCTGGGTCTTTCTAGCCTCCACACTGCTGCGATCCTAGCATCGCATGAACCAGGTGACACTCTGCCCTGCCTCAGATTTTACCTGGAGGCTACAGGCCAAGTTCAAAATCTTTAACATGGTCTATCAACCATTGGTGGTCTACCTCCTGTTTGCTTTACCACATAACCATGAATTCTTGGGGTTAAAACATTATATGCTTTGTGCAGTCACCTGAACTATTGTATTAATTCATATTTCTATGTCTTTACAGATGATTCAAAGGCATAATAAAGTGTTATCCCTATTGATTATTAATTGAGTGTTCTGTGTTTGGGGAACTGTGCTGGGCACGAGGGATAAATACATCAGTAGAACAAAAACTTTCTTCCAGAAGAAAAATCTACAGTTATATTATAAATGGGTATCATCTGAATCAAGTCATAAAAAGAATTGTAAGAATTTAAGTGGACAAGAGAGAAAAGGTCATTCCTAGGTATGAAACAAAACAAACAAAACAAAACAATATGAGCCCCACCTCCAGATTTTCTGATTACATTGTTCTGTGTTGACAATTCAAATTATTTGTAATAAGTTCCTAGGTGATGTTGTTATTTGCCAGTCAGAGAGAGCCCTGGGTTTTAAGGAGAAAATAGGGAGTCCCCATGCTGAGTTGGAAGGAGTGTAATGCTTAATAGGTAGTATTCTTAAAAAAAAAAACAGTGAAGAGACAGACTGAGAGGAATCCAAGAAATGGAAAATAGAACTGAAAGGTAAGAAGGTATACCTTCTCAGCCCAGTGAGCTGGATTAAATATTGGATCTGACATTGACGTAAATTTATGATTTGTCCCATCATGGATGGAGGGAGACTCATGCTATTTGGGATGTTTTCTGAAAAGAATATGTATGGCTTATAGGTTTTTGAACAGGGAAATATGAATTCAGCAGTGTTAATATTTTAAATTTTAAATTTTTTAATGTTTTTTTGAATTTATTTTTGAGAGTCAGAGAGAGCACGAGCAGGGGAGGGTCAGAGAGAGAGGGAGACACAGAATCTGAAACAGACTCTAGGCTCTGAGCTGGCTGTCAGCACAGAGCCCAACATGGGGCTCGAACCCAGGAACCGTGAGATCATGACCTAAGCCGAAGTTGGATGCTTAACCGACTGAGGCACCCAAGTGCCCCAATATTTTAAATCTTAAATGAAACATTTTTTAACTTTATTAAAATACTGAGTTTGTTTCACATGGACATTTTTGTCTCCCACCATTTCTATTTGTCTGAGCAACACCATGTTCTATCATAATAGCCCATCCAGAAACCAAGCAACTGATGGAGTTCCATCTTTAAAAATGAGCAGGAATTTTGAACAATACATTTTTCGTGATGGAACTTGGACAACATTGATCAGATGCAGTAGGGAAAGCCCTCAGTCTGCATTATAAAAAGGACAGCCAGATAGCAGCTGTTACAGAAAGGAAACAAGATTGAACATTTTAACAAACTGCTTAAACTGTTTTCTTAAAGAGACTTCCTGCACTGCCAGAGATCTTGAATAGCCTCTTGGTCAGTCATCTGGAGGCAATTCTTCACATAATTGATGAATTTGGCTTCCGCTTTTGTGAAGAGAATCACCATTTCCTATACTTATTTGCATTTTTGCTTTAATATCTTCTACAGAACTAGGTTCTTTCAGTATTTTGGGAGTCTTTTCCTGTTTTCTGAAGGATTATTGATCTTTTCATCTTTATTTGATTGTTTTGAGTCTTTTCCATTCTGGTTTGATATTAGTGCACTTTTGGCTAGAGTATCTTGTATAGATTTCTTCAATGAAGACTTGTCTTTAGCTACCTCACTATTACCATCACCATCACCACCATCACCATCAACATCATCACCATCACCACCATCACCATCAACATCATCACCACCATCACCATCAACATCATCACCACCATCACCATCAACATCATCATCATCACCACCATCACCACCATCACCATCACCACCATCACCATCATCACCACCATCACCATCACCATCACCATCACCATCATCACCATCATCACTGTCACCATCAACACCATCATCATCATCACCATCACCATCATCACTGTCACCATCATCACCATTACCATCACTATCATCACTATTACCATCACCATCATCACCATCACTATCATCATCTTCATCATCATCATCTTCTCCATCATCATCACTATTATCATCATCATCATCTTCATTAGCAACAAGTTTTACTTTTTTTCTGTGGAAACTTGCTACCACTTTCAGGAACAGAACACTTTCCAAATATACTAAGGAGTTTCATCTCCTCTTCCCTCTTCTTCTTCTGACTCTGCATCTTCCTCCACAGCTGTTAACTGCTGTTCACTAATAGCTGAATTAGTGAATAGCTGTCCACAGGCCCTAAATCACATTTCAACCATAAGACCACAGGTGGTATTATTTCAAAGCCCCCAAGGGAAACCGTCGGCTGTACAGACATTTTCAAAGCTGCCAGTGTGTCTTTAATTGGATTGCCATAGTAATCCATTGCCTCTGCTTCAACAATGTGCGATTTTTCCTTACACCAGTCCCTGCACAGACTGTTCTTAAATATAACTGGTGCTCATTTTCAACATTATCCACATTAAAATGATTATTGTCAGCCTTTAGTTCACAACCAAAATGGTGGTTCTGGGGCTCATGTCCATTTCCTTCAAATCTTCCATGGTGTGGCGGCATGCATTTAGGTGGGAGAGAGGGCGAATTGGGATAAACGACTTCTGTTTCAGAGAACAGCTGTGCAGGATGGAATCATACCAGGGAGTAAATGAGACATTTCAAACTGGGAGGGGCAGTATCATAAACACGATCATTTTAAGAAGAGGAAAATAAAGGGCCATGCGTCTACATTATCTGACCAGATCACCGGGCTATGCAAAGAAATAAATGTTGAGGTTTTTTTGTTTGGCTCCTTGTCCAGGATACACTTGAGTATAGGATGGTCTATAAACCCTTATGATCTCTGATAGTTTACTTGACTCCATTGGCTAATGGTAAGACTCCCATTAATTGCACACTTCTTAATGCACCCACAAAAAATTTGAAGTTCCTATTTTTTCATCCCCTTTCTGTTCTAAATCAATTTATAAAATTAGTTATTGTATACCAACTTAAGCTAGACTGTCATTCTGATTAAGACCACTTGTATGGCTCAAATAAAGATTGCAAAAAAGGTTACAAATAAAGTAAACTATGAGCTATTGTATCATAACTATAGGAAAACTGATTACTCTTTCTTTTTGGTCTTGTAAAATAAATTGGCATAGGATGAAAACACACTCATTATTTTGTGACTTTTCAGTTTTATCACATCCATGCTTCATTAGTATCATTAGCAAATACTTCTGAAAGTTTACATAAATGAGATTCTTTTTAAATGTCATTCTTTCATCTATGATTTGCAAAAGGAATAATGATGTCCATATATAAATTTCCATTTAGCTCTGAAGTATATAGTATTTTTAATTCCTTCCAGATAAACAATCTGGGGCACCTGGGTGGCTCAGTTGGTTAAGCATCTGACTTGATTTTGGCTCAGGTCTTGATCTTGTGGTTTGTGGGTTCAAGCCTCACATCAGGCTCTGTGCTGACAGTGCAAAGCCTGCTTGGGATTTTCTGTCTCCCCCTCTTTCTGTCTCTTCCTGCTCACTTTCTATCTCTATCTCAAAATAAATAAATAAACCTAATATATATGTATATATATAATTGATACAAAGTGACCTTGGAAAATGAGAGAAACTCCTTAAAAATACTGGCAAGAATTAGTAGAGTTCTTTAGTTAGAAGTTGTCCAAGATGCCATGGGACTAATAGCAGTTAGAGAGATGAATGTCTAAATTTCGCAGTAAAGTCACTCCTGTGAGGTACATGCAATAAAATATATGAACACATTAATGGCATCGTATTTAGTTTGTTATATGAACCATTCCAGTATTAAGACAGTGGTTCTCCCATGAATGCCGAGCATTTCCTCACCCTTCTTCTTGACGCCCTGTGGACTGGGGGCTGAACTTTGTGGGGAACACAGTGGGTCCCCTGCCATCTGGCTTGGAGTAGCGTTAAGGAGAAGTGTTTTTAGGAGACAGACACCAGCCTGAGAGTGAGGGTTGGGTGTTTATTCTCCTGACTCCCTCTTTGCTGACATGCTATCCCTCTACAATCTCTGCTCTGGCATGAGGCCATTTTGGTACCCTTGTCCTGTCTGAGCCCCAATGACCACACCAGCCCACGTCCCGAGTCC